TTACAAAACAAAGGTTGGAGTTTTAAAATCTATGATTGTTTGGAGCATAAGACTAGCCGATGCAGACCATTGTGACAATGAAATGTATCAGCTTAAAATAATATTTCTTGAAGATAACTATTCCCTAACTTGATTGAAAATGACATTAGATTAATAAAGAATAGCTTTTTGAATGGTGATTACATAAGGAGACCTTTTATGATGCTTTGTCGTTACCTTCATGCATTCTCTCTAAAAGGATTGGTGAAAAAGTAAGGAAGTGGGGAATTAAAACGGGCATCAGGGAAACTACGACACTTTCTACAGTTATGCCCACTTTTAGAGAGAAAGTTGACCCATTATCCAGATCGGGTTGCCACAAAATAATGTATTTATGTGGTCGCTTTTATGTTGGAGAGACTTGTCGTCCCATTCGACAAAGCCTGGTTGAGCACAAGCCCGAAACGGGACACGAGATTGAATGGTCTAAAACTAAACGTAAAATTAGAGAAGCCATATAAATAAACAGAAGAGGAAATACATTGAATGTAAGGAATACCGGCAAGAAGATAAGTAAAAACTATATGTGCTTAATTAATAGACTGAAGGATAGAGAGGGAGTTGAGCCGCCTACAAAAAAGAGGCGACACAACTAGTCTTTACTTATTTTGGTTCTAATGATAGTCAATTCTCTGTCTTTTTAGCTCACTGATTTCTCTCTCGCATTGAGACCAAAAACAAAAAAATAGGCTCATCAACAAAACCAGATGTGTCCGACCTTGCGCAATCGGAGTGATGGTTATAGCTTACATGTAGAAAGAGGGAGATGGGGGTTATCAAACCTTGATGGCCAAAAACAGATGTTCTTTTTGCTGTCCTAATTAATTTGAGCCATCACTGCCTGTTTCGTGCATAAGCGGACACAAACATGACCATGCAAATACAGAGACAGACACACTCACATGCATCGAAGTTGACATATGACCTTAACTAACCCAATCACCTTATACTCGATCAAATAGGCCAGATATAGAGTATATATACCACTTTTTAGGGATTTGCCGGTGATTTTTCTTGACTCGTTAGTTTGAATTTTGTTGTTACGATGTTACCTATCTCTCATGATATTCGTCATATAACGAACGAAAGCTTAGCACCTTTTCACCGGAATCGACGGAGATTGTCTCAGAAACAACGTTAGCATGAATCTTGCAGTAAAGCCAATCGACAGCTGGTCAATAGGAATCCGCCGTCGTCTTCTGGTGGAACCGACCTTCGAATCTCTTCACCCAGCACTTCTACTCGAAATGGAAGTAAGTTCAACAATTATGAAACAAAAGACTCCTCGAAACTCAACTTTTCTTCTCATATTTTAGTACCTAGAAGTTATTTTATTGGCATATGTCCAAATTTGTATATTTCCACTAGTAGGTAATCAAATGAACTCAGAACCATAAGCAGGATTAAGCAAATCATCTCCCGAGTGTAGAATTAGCCAGATTCTTTGAAACTGTGGTGCGAGAAGCATTGATACAATTCATATTTGCAAATTTATTACGGAATTTTGGTATTTTAATTAGCCAAAGGGACATAGTACAAAAGTTTAAACAATAAATGTAATACCGCTATCCTGTGCATGCATAAGTCTATTGAAAGGCACTGTATAAGAACTTAACTGGTCGAATCGAAACTTATTCCTCACAAATATGATATCATTAATTCAGTGTGTCCACGTAGTCGCAACTTGCTCAGACTGATAGGGTGTCGCTGTAGAGCGTATTCGGACCCACTTATTATGCCGCAGTAGTCATGATTATTTACAGAATCCAGCCGATGACTTGGTGCATTTTCAGACATTTCGTCGGTATCGTAGTCGATATCCTCATTGACTTGTATCTCTTCTAAATGACAAGTGAAGAATATCCTCTTGAATAATACTCTGGCTAGAGATTCTGGCCTTTTTCATCTCCGTCTTATCTTAGCCTCTTAATGCTGAATCCACGTACCTCAATATCACTTTATATTGCCAGCTTTCCGTTAGGAGCTTAGATTGCGTGCCCATTTTCCACTCCAAAATTTAAGTGGGTTTTAAGTAGATTTAAGTCCCAACATTCTCAAGCGTAATGGTAGCCTATTAGGACGACGTGACCACTCAGATATGTATCTCTGGGTGAGCCAGCCTCCTTCAACTTCATGAAGCTGGTTCTTCGGTTAAACTTCTTTTACTGCACTCGCTCTTATTCCAGTCGTTTCTCAAGATTATCTTCCCGGCAATGTCTTTAACATATCTTGATTGGTGTCGTTAATCCAAAAGTTTTATTTTGGCTGTCGTTGCTAAATTACAAATTTATTAACGTTTGATTTAACAATGATGAAGTTCTCTTTCGATATATGGGTCTTTAAATTCTTTTATTATAGGGTGTCCACAGCTTCCCATAGATTTAGTTTTCGTGTATTTTTACTCTGTGAATCAAGCCTATCCGTTGCATTCCAGTCAATCTCAAATTAATTCATGTCCAAATTTCTGCAGTTACCGGTGTGCTTTTCTTCTCCGATTGATTTTCCCCTCTGTCTTTTTAATGTGCATTGTTCACATTTCCTGTATTTGATGAGGTAAATTCCTAAAAATCCATTTTTTGTTTTTTTATGTCGTGGTGTTAAGCTTGCGAAGTGTCTCTTTTAAGATTACACAAATATCCCGTTTCATTATGAACATTAGCATCTTCCGGGACAATTTGCAAGAATGCAGAAAAATCAATCTTCATTTTATAATCCTATTTTCTCCTTCCATAATCTTTGTCCTGCCATTGCTTTCACATATTATTGTCCTTAAATATCCTTTCCAAATAAATGTATGAGTTTGTATAATTCATATTACCAGACTTCCGTACCGATTAGTCCTGGACTTCTCAGCATCATACTCACCACTATTTTTACCTTCAAACTGTAGCCACAGTAGAACTGGATA